TCCACGCCCGTAGGCCCTGCCGGTCTCAGCGGCGCGGTCGGCGAAGGGCCCCCCCTCCCCCACCGCACACACCCATTTTGAGGAACTCGCGTTTATTCTGTTAGCGAAGGGTTGCGCTGGGAGAAGGGGGTGTGCGGAGCCGCTCCCAGCGTACGCTCTCGGTAAAACCGGTAAAGCTCCGAAAACAATGCGTCGCTCAGCCTTCGCGTTTCTGGTAAGTAAACTTTAATTCAGGTCGAGGTGGACAATAGACACTCCAGTGAGCTTCGCTTTCCCGATCTCATTCGTGGTCACTGAGTACACGCACTCCGGAAGAAAATTACAACCCAGATAAGCTGTTTACACTGATACATGTGAAGTGTTTGTAAAATGAGTGTTTGCTGAACACATGGGCTTAACATATAAGGTTGTGTGCCTCTTTAACAATACTCTTTTCCTCCAGAATAAGGCGTTATTAAAACATCTTTAAATTAGAAACACTAAAAATGTGCATATTTAATAAAGAATCTTCTTTGTGGTACAGCATTCTTGCTTTTGGGGGGTATTAACGACTGTTTCGGTTAGTTCTGGCATTTTTTTTTAAATATACTAAAATACATGTTTATTATAATTTCTTGTTTTCTAGACAGGTGCAATCAGAGTGTTGTATGTCATCTTTTAAAATCTGGTGTTACCACGGACTAACTATTACTTACTGGCAGAATTTCACTAAACAGTTCTTTTTAATAGTTAGGGCTATGTTTACGTTCCTGACTGAGGGAGGAGTGATTGATAACACTGTAGCATGCCTTAGTGGCCAGTGTAGCCTACAAAAGTACTTAAAATTAAGCTGATGACCTAGTGTTCCCTTAAGAAGCTTTTCTTTGTGGAATGTGAGTCTCTTTAGAAAACAGGTATGTTTCTGTCTGGGCTGGTACTCTGAAAGGGTGGCATGTAAACTCTTTGTAAGATCACCAATTCTAGGAGGGTAGAAAAGACAAGTGCTCAGAATATAAAATACCCAGTTTCTGTCTCATTAGAAAATATCCTATGAATTACCAGCCTGTATGCTCAAAGCTGATCAGGTTAATAAGTGTACTTGTAGTATGCTTAAGCAAGAGATTCTTCAGAATGGTTTACTTCATCACAAGGTAGATGGCTACAAAGAAGTAAGGATATGCTACAATAAAATTTTGATACTCTTGATGTGTAATATGTTTCACATTTAAGCTGTCCACTCCAATATTTTTTTAAATTACAGTGAGGTTTAATTGCACAATTAAACTGTTGGTTAAAGTAGTGTGTGTTTCTGTAGCTTGTAATACATTGCTATGTAACCTAAAGAAAAATAGTACTGACTTAAGGTTTTACTTTCTTTTGCAAGGGAGAATTTAGTATCCAAAAGGTTGAGTTACTGCCTGTATACTGAAGTAAAAGCTATTCTGGAAAGTGACAGCTTTAATGTTGGGATGCCATATTGCAGAGGGGTTTAGCATTCAAAAAATTGCAAATCATTATTTACAACCTGTGAAAAGCATATAGTTTAACACACAGCTTAGATTTTGGTTTTTTAATCCATGTTAAGGTTTGTCCTTTTTACCCATTGTCATTATTGTTTTCATGTTGGGTGCACTTTAAATAAAAATAAAAGAAAAAATAAATTTTTTGTAGGTTGAGTTAAATTATTTTTTTTTTACTACTCCATCTTCTTTATGAAGGCATCTGGATTCTGGTTTCCTGGAAGTCTCTAATTTTGTTGTGGTCCGTTACTTCCCTTCCATCAATTTTCTTCAGTTTCAGTAACTTGTCCTCTACAATTTGTTTTTCTTACTTCTAATCTTAAGATAGGCCATAATTTGATATCACTGTCTTTAGCGATACTACCATGAACTTTTCCTCGCCGTAGGCTACCACTCACCCAGTTGTGTAGTGAGGGAGGTGTACCTTAAGTAAGCACTGATGCTGGTCTAACTGTAGTCTTACAGAGCGTGATAGACCTAAATTCACTGTGTCTCTGGAAGAAGGGACAGCGGAGGGTTGTGATGGGGGCAGTTGTGTCTTATTCCCTTCCCCACACTGCAGCTGCTATATATTGTAATCTAGTGCTATCTGAAGGACTCCCTACCTTTGCATGCACAATATTCTTATGGTTATAAATGTTCCTTTCTGTAGAAAGGTGAAGCTAGGCAGAGGCTGGATGGCATCTGGCTTTCCTGTTTCATGTTTCATCTGCTGCTTCCTTGATCAGCTTCTGAGTTTTTGGGTGCCATTTTTGTTGATGGTCACACAGATCAGTGTAAAGGGGTGACTACAATTAATTTGCATCTATGATGTGCGTAAGATGTACACATGATAGTGTGTGATGCAGATGTTAAAAGATCTTTGACAAAGCAGAATTGTTAGCTGTGACTCATTGACATGCGGGGGTGTCTGCGTCTTGCTTCCCAGATCTTGGGGTTTGGAGGGAACTTCCAGAAGCAGCCAGGTGAATAAAAAATTGCCATGCTGTCTCCAGCAAATACAGAGTTGTGGTAGCGTGGGAAGGAAGAACAGAGAGTGGAATGTTGGATGTAAGGAGGGTGGGAGAGTAAAAGTATTGTGAGGTTAAAGACCCAGCTGGGATTTAGGAGGCTTTGTTGTACCAGGTGCAGTAGAATTGAAATGTGGCTTTACTGCCTTTAGGCTGAGCTTAGCTCCAGGCATTGTTAGGCTGCTTTACTGTGTAGACCAGGAGCTAAGCTATGTTACGTAGATTGTCTCCTCCTCGCATCATTAATGTAGAACAGACTGGGGCAGGGAGGCACAGAAATGTGATTTTGCCACCACTGTTGCAGTATGTTTTAAATTCCTGCACTGTGTTAACTATGCTGGACCCAAATTAATTTCTGCAGAACCAGTTGAGTGATGTCAGGACTTGAAATCTGTTATGTCTCTGCCAGACTTGTGGCAAGGTCTATCTACACCATGTTCAATAAACCAGCATTTCCGAGGTCAGTTTTTAGAATACCAAACACTTAGCCCTGTCTGTATCATAGCAATCCACATTTGTAGACTGAAAGGCTGCATCTGCCACTGTTTGCCAGAAAATTCCCTGGCAAGATCTTGACAAACTCTTCCTGATCTCTTCATGTTTTGAGACTACAAAGAGTACGTCCTTACACCTATGTATGTCTACGTTTTTCTGGATCTTAATGTGTGCATGTGGTTTCATTTCAGTTGTGTGGTGGTGGTTTCATGTACTCTCTAACAGGACCTAAATCCATTTGTGTGCTCTGCTTCTTTCAGCCATGACAGAAGCACTATTCTTATCCACTTAATAAATATATACTTGCCAGGCATCAATTTTATCTGAAGACTTGATGCCACATTTACTTTGCCCCTGCGTTAGTTGCCTACTAATCTTTTAGCAGTCTGTTCTGGTTTCTTACGGTTTTTGTGTCCCTTCGTACTCCTTCTCGTTCATACCTTGTGTCTGTTTGATATAGTACAGGGTGTAAGTTTCTGAATTCTAAATACAATGATAAATGCTATTGTAGTTAACTTAGCTTAACATTTTAGAAATAGATGTCATTGGTGAGCGTAATACTGAAAGCAGAAGTTTATTCTTGCAGGATGATGTGGGTTTAACATCTTGGGAGGAGCCATTTGAAAGACTCCTAAGAGCATATTATGTGGTATACAGTAAACCTGGATTTACTGTCATTGTTTATATTTACTGTAGGACCAAGTTGTAAACAGAATGGAAACAAGGATTGGTGGAGGAAGACTTTAGAGTTGGTAATGTGGTGGTTTTTTCCAGTTCTTGACACAATTATAAATAATCTCTGTATTTTAGCTGCATTTCCAGGGTCAGTTAAATTCCAGGTACACCAAGAAGTTAAAGCAGAAAATGTGTTTAAATGCTAACATTTGGGAAATAGGCTCATGAGGAAAGAATGGTAATTGTTGGTATTCTAAAATTCTTGATTTGTTCAGAGATATAAAACAGCCCAGATTAAGAGGGGGAGGGGCAGTACTTACAGAAGTATCATTTTCAAATTATTTAAGATTAATATGCTGGGCTACATCTGTTAATAGTGACCCAGTCTTAAAGGGCAAAAAATTTTTCAAGATTCTGATTGCAGTTGAAGTGACTTAGTGGTAGAATAGAAGAAAGCAAGGCCTTAAAAACAGATTTAAGAAAGTGCGAGGATTGATAAGATGTAACTATAGTGTAGTGAAGGGTTGTGTTACTGAACAAAGGTTTTTAAAACTTATTCTGTGCACATACAGGTATAACTAAACTTCAAGAAAAAAATCTTAGGCTAGACAACCCTGTAATTTAGCCTAACTGGGCAACTAACAATGCTTGTTAAGTTGCATGTTAATATATTTGAAGTTGTAGTCATTGGGTCTGGTACAGTCCAGGCAATGTTAGACTGTGCAACAGCCAGCCAAAACCTCCAAACAGTAGCTTCGATCTTAATGGACATAAAACTCCTTTTGGAGGTTGAACCAACTTGACTGAACTAGCCGTTAAATTTCCTGCTTTTTTGTGTACAATGACCTATATGTCTTGTTCGTAGAAGTTCTCATTTCATAATTAGTGGTAGTTTTGAAGGCATCTTAAACTGGCCACTTCATAGGTGGAACAGATGTTTAAATAAATTTCCTTTTCACTGCAGAAGATCCTTTTGTGGAAACAGGAGGATGCTTGAAGCAATTGGATGCATTGGGTGGTGCAAATAGTTGAAAGAGGTGTTTGGCTAGGTATTTTCTTACACGCTTTGGAGTCATGAGGGTTCATTCTCAGAGACCTGGGGAAACTGTTAACTGTTGCTTTTAGCAGTAAGGTATAAACCAAGAAGTTTTCCTTGAAGGTGATTGATAAATAACTTTTAGTAAATACTAGAAGTCAACTTTGTTTCTTCTGTTCTTGTAACATCAGACATCCTTTATGAATTCAAATTTGGATTTTGTGCAGTTGATGTGTTTTGCAGGAAGGAGCTCCTAGACTTCTTGTTGGATAATTTGGTTTTAGGTCTTTTTCAGATTTTGGAAGCTGATCATAAAGATCGTTTTACACTCTAAGTATCTGTGAAACTAAAAATCCATTGCTATTTATCTGTGTATAAAAAAAAGGGAAGGTGTGAATCAGACTAGATGGTAATAATGCAGATACTTATGGACATGAAACTAAGTGCTACAATAATTCCGTGACCTTCAGAGGGTTGTTTGTGGGACAGGAACTCGATTACGTGGGAGGTATACTGAACACAGTAATCAAAAGCAGCGGGGAAAAAGTATTTTCACAGTTTGTATGCAACAATTCTTTGCAACTTTTTTTTTTCCCAGGCAGTGAAGAAAAGTTAAAAGCCAGTATCTATCTGATTAGGTGCAGTTTTATGATAGTTAAAGCTAATCTAAGTTGGGACTGCTGAAGTCCTGTATGGTTTTGTTTCTGCATCGCATCTGATCCTGAAATCAGGGAGCTAAACCATTAGAAAGTTAATCGCTTTTCTAATAGGATTATTTTTTTGCTGATTAAATTCCCTGAACTGGCTTGTTACAGGATGGGATTAACTCAAGTGCCTCTGTTAACCAGAGGGAGGGACAGCAAATGCTTATCTAGGGGCAGGATCATGGCAGTGAACAAACACCCAAGCATTAAGTAGTCACAGTTTTGGATATTGGCTGTTGTGCAAGCTGTACAATGAAAAATACGTACTCAAAAGTCACACACCCTTGACCTGTAGTAGCAGCAGCTCTAAGCACAGAGTGCAGTTAACATGCAGTTTTCAAAACTGGAATCAAATGTCTTTCTGGCTATAGTTGAGCTAGATTGAAAGTCAAGCTCCCTGTTCCCTTTCACTGGATGCTTGTAGTAGATGTTAGTCCTCACAGATTTGATGTGTAACTGAATGCATTTTGTTCACGTGCCTAGTTCTGGCAAAACAGTCCAGACTGGAAGTTCTAAGTGTTGATTTCTCCAATATATTTGGAGTGATTTTGTTTTTGTGAAGGTGCAAGGTAATTAGGCCTTATTTTCACTCAGATAGAATCAGGACACTGATTTGCCTGCAGTGCAGTGTGTCTCTCTGAAATATGGATGGCTTTTTTCCATCCTGGAGATGGATAGGGTAGGGTAGGGACAGGAAAGGGAGTGCTCGCTGGCCTTAAGTTGAGTGTTTTCTTGCATATGGCCTAAGGTACCAGCAATTCCAAGCAGTCCAGCTTAAAAACCTGATCATATAGTTATTTTCAATTCTGTAGAGCTCCTACAATTTTTGCCATACATAACTCCATGGAGAACTTTGTCTGCTGCTGCTAAGTGAATATTTGCTGATTTAGCAAACTAGTCTATTTTTTCCAATACAAGTATGGAACATTTTGTTATGCTACTGACAGAGATATGGAGTTCTGTATCAAACGTACAAAATTAATGTATAGTAAGCAAATAAAATCCTGTATAGCAGAATTGCTATAATTATGCATCTTATCAGCATCTGTTTTTTCACCAGCTTAATTTATTTCAGCCTTTCTGAATTTATTGCCGTGTATCTGCATAGGTGAAATCAAATTCCTGGAAGCCTCAACAGTTTCACTGCAGTGTCATCTGAGTTTTGTGTGTCACATGGAAAAGTTTGAGATAATAAAACTGAACTACTACTAAAATAGTTGAGGTGTGCTTCCGTGGCCCATCCTACTTTTTCCTGTTTGAAAGTCACTACTGACAGTGCAGGACCCTGTGCTCCAACAAATGTTTCAGTTGTTCTTGTAGGGTCGTTGGGGTTTTTATTGTAGCTGACATTAATAGTACTCCTGATAGGCATTTCTGTCTAATTGAATGCAGAATAACATATGCTTGATTGGATATTTGAGATAAGTAGATTTCACTGAGATATGGAATATAATGAGAAGCAATGCTTACTGCTGGTGTGGGTGAATTTGAATTAGTGCTTTATTGAATAAACAACATTTCAACTTTGGGTCATCTGTAGAGGTAACTTAGATAAATAGTCTTTCAACTTTGGAAATTTCAGCTTCAGTGCTCTCTTCTGCAAGCTGAAATATGTTTATGCATGTCGTTTTGGAAGAAATAAAATTAGTAGTTCATTTCATAGTGTGTTTTGCATCTTAAGCCTATATCAGTTGAACTATAACATGCAGTATTACAGAGTCAGAATTTTGAGGGACTTAGGGATGTAAAAATACTCATGGAAATTTTACTAATTTTGAGCTGACAACTTTGAGCCTACTAATTTTTTAATTTGATTTATCAAATTAATTTTCATAATTTAGCTTGCCTTCCAAGCTACACAACTTTACACTGAACAAATAATGTTAAGAATGACTCGAAAACTGAATAGAAAAGAATAGTAGTCTTTAAACTCTATAAAGTCCCTCCTACTGACTTTTTAATTCCTTTTCCCTTTCATGCATGGCTGCTATTACATGTCAGTTTAACAGTTCTGCAACGTTTTTGATCATTTGTTCGTTTTGTAAGTAAACCTAATTGAAAAATCTTTTAAGGGATATGCTTGGAGTTATATCCTGCTAGTAGGACCGACACAAAAACTGGTAGTGCTGAAAAATATTCAAAAATACAGTAGCTTTTTTAAATAAGTTGAATTGCAATGTATAACATAAGCAACTGTAGTATAGTAGTGCATTTGCAGAGGCTGACAAAAGCAAAGAGGCGGGGCACTCCTAAAAATGAAGCTGATGTTCCTAAGTAACTCCAACTTACTGCATTTGCTAGCCCCAGCTTTTTCTTTCTTTTTTTAAGTCATTGTTTTGTACAGTACTTCACTGGCAGCTTGACTTTGTATAAGGCCACTGTAAATGGTCTTCCAGTAAAATCCATTAATAATACCTGGATTTGTGTTCTTGGAACATCTGCTTTCCTTCAGGAGTGATGTGCAATAGTGATGCACAATAGTGATGCTTGTTAATTTTACTAGAAGTCATGCCTCCGTAGTATCTAGTTACCTTCTGTTTCCCTTTGTAAGTGTGTGCTGGTACCTTTGATAGGGGTATCGGTTCTGTCTGTCCTGTTTACTGTCTTTTTCATCTGCAGAGCTATGTATTGACCTAGATCCAATATTAAAAATTAAAATTATTTCCTTGAAATAATATTTTAGCAATTGACAGGGTTTAGAATTTCCTGTACAGTAAATGTCACACTGCATTATACAATACAGAATCATATATTCTAACAGTAATTATGTAGCTAACTTGTAAAATTTCACAAGAAAATTCTTGTAGTAATAATTTACAGGTTATTATCATTACATCTCATGAAGGCAAGCATTTACTTGATCGTGTGATTCGGGACTGCTAAGATCTGCCTGAAAATGAGTCAAGTTTGGAAAGTTAGTAAAAAGCTGTTTGGAGTACAGGTCAGAACAATATTTCGGGCTTAATAAAATAACTACATATGATTTAGGGTCATAACAAGTATGTATTTTAAGGATTGTCTGTATGTGATCATCAGATTGTAATTTTTTTTAATCTACTTTGTACTGTTAAATCTAAAAAAAAAATCTGGAGATCATGAAGTAAGATATTTTCACAAGGCTTTAAAAGAACACTTAAACCTGTACTCTAATAGTAGCTATATTAGCAAGTGAATATTCAATTTGGTAAAGCTATTAGTGTTTAAAAAAGCCTTTAAATGCCAATATGAATGTCTAGGTGTTTAAAAAAAAAAGTGGTTTAAGGTAGTTTGTACCAAAGCTACAGGAAGGCAACTGGAAGAATACACCGATTGACAGAGCAGAATGTTAACAAAGAAATTGTGCTTGAATAACATGTATATGTTGCTGCTGCAACTGCCATCTCCTAGGTTTTTTTGTTAAATCTGTAACCCGTGGTACGAAATGCTGTCCTGCATATGCAGAATGACTCGTGCAGCAGCCTGGATTTGTTTGACAGAGGTTTGTAATAGAACAATTGGTCTGAATTTACTCTTTACATCTTAAAAGTTTCAGGTTGGTAAAACTGTTTCAAATTCATAATGCAGTAAGTTTTCTGGCAAAGTGAAAATTTGTTCTAGTGTTTTAGAAACATTTGGTCAGTTTAGTCTAGCTTTTTGCTGAATCACCAAATATGTGGAAGAGTGCATTATCTTACTGGGATAACTTGTTTTCCAATTTAGTAGCTCCAGCATAAAACTGAGATCTGGAATGTTACATTGTCTGAATGTTGTCATTAGCTTGTCTTTGCAGCTGGGACAGAACTTTTCAAACTCTACTTGTGATCTCTTATGTCTTCTTTGTAATTTTTCTAGGCTGCTGAATACGTCCCAGAAAAAGTGAAGAAAGCTGAAAAGAAACTAGAAGAAAATCCATATGACCTTGACGCTTGGAGCATTCTCATTCGAGAGGCACAGGTTTAGTGACATAGGATTACATTTCCTTATCTATGGTCCACTCACACTATTTGATTCTGGAGTAAAATCAGCATATTCATTTACATAAATCATAATATTGTAAATGCTGTTTTGATTTTCAATTTTTAGAATCAACCTATAGACAAAGCACGGAAGACCTATGAACGCCTTGTTGCCCAGTTCCCCAGTTCTGGCAGATTCTGGAAACTGTACATTGAAGCAGAGGTTAATATTTTTACATTTTTTTCTTATATAATAACATTTAATAGGAACTTTAAGTTTACATTTTCATAAGAGTAAATAAGATAGGCACATAGTATCTAGGGAAAAGGGGATTTTAAATATGCCTTGCCTTTGTTTTGTAAAATAGGTACAAAGGAGTGATTAAAATGGATTCTAAAGTATTGGGTCTTTTATGAGTTGATGATTGTTGCATTATGGAATTGCAACAACATTAAAACCGTTTCAATGGTATTGGAGTGCTTTAGCCTTTTATTTACTTGTCGTGTCAATTTATTGCCTCCCGTGTCATTTATTTAGAGGACTTTTTTTTATACATACAAACTTATTTGAATGACTTTCTGTGAATGTTTGGATCTTTTAATTTTTTTGCTTTCTTAGGGAATTGAGCGTTTCTGTGAACAGTGTTTTCAGGGAGGGTGTGGGATGGAAGCTGCTTTCTGGAATGAAAATGCTGGGAAAACGCATTAGCACAACTCATTAGTTTCTAAAAATCCCAACAAAATTGTGGGTTTTTTACATAACTATATAAAACTTCCCACTAAGTGCATTGATCACTTAAACAGCCTTTAATGACATGCCAGGAAATGCACTGTATAATCTGAGGTGGTTGTGGTTTTTTTTTCATTTTCTGTAGCTGATATTTAATACTAATACACATGCTTTTTATGAGCATCTTCTAGCTGCACATTTTTCTTGAGACAGATCTTCTACATACTAAACTACACGAGTGGGGACCTGTGTTCCATAGATGAGAAATGAGATAGCTAAATTTTTTTCCATTTTATGTGAAAATTGCTAAGTAGCAATCTGAGTGGCAAAACTGCATTGTATAGTTATCATATCTCACTTTACATTAAATTACATATCCAAATGTATTCTGGCAGTACATTTTGAAGATTATTTAATAAAATTGGGATCATGGGAATCTAACAAATTTTTATATTGCAGTTTATAATAAGATGTTATAGTGCAAAATAGAGCGATGTAAATTTAATAATATCTAGTTAGATATTATATCATTTTCACTATTTTGTTTCCAGTAGTTTGTAGTAGTAGTATTTGGATTGTCAGTGATTGGACATGCTCGGGAGATTGTGAATGCACTAACACATACAGATGTGTATTTTCCTTTTGGGACCCTGCAGCCAAATCCCTTAGCCTGCAATGTTTGCTACATGATCTAGTCTTTAGGATCTAATTTAGTTTGATTACATTAAGTTATGTGATTTCTGTGCTTATTAAAACATTTATCTTTCCCATGCCTCAAATTTAAGAGTTGAATAAGACCACCTCAGAAAGCCTGTACTATATTGTAGATCTTTCAGCAGAAAGTACTATTATCAGTGTAAAGCTGCTTGTCTGAGGCTTCTTGTCTTGAACCACATTCAGAGATGAATTGACAGACCTTACCTCCCTTAATCAATACCTTTTAACTGATTTATAATCTAGTAGTATTTAGAAACATTAACAATAGCAAAGCTTAAAACAGTCTAGGGTATAATTTTTTACGTGCTTCTTCAAGGAAGGAAGATCAGTTTCTACCCAGCAGGTATGGTAACCAGATAACATAAGGTAAATTTGAAAAGTAAAGCATTGGCATAAAGATCACTGGTGTGTGTGTGTCTGCCTATAACTACACTTCAGATATAAGAGAAATGGATTCTGTTGTTCAAAACAATGGAAAAATGTGAACTGTAGAGTTCTGGTAGAGGTTACACTTTAAAGGGTTATATTTGAAAGAAATGTAAGAGGATACTTTTTAGAAATTTATCTTTCATCTTAACAAGCAAATTCTTAAAATCCCAGTTGTGACTTAAATTGTCAACTTTCCTGGTTCCAGTAACTTCTCTCAAAACTCACATGGTGACCCATTTAACTAAAAACCAACATGCTTATCTCTGCCTTTTTTTAGTACATCTAACCATTTGTAGCTATAAACTGAAATAACTTTTTGTTTCTAAATTTCTCTCTTAAAAATATTTTCGTACAATTGGGCACTGTTGTCAGTGGTGGTTTAGGTTTCATATTATATGTACAGTCCTGTCTGAGAGTAAATTCAAAATTAAATGTTTTCTCAAATGTTCTTTTAACAGCACAGTTGCGTATAAATTAAGACTTCAATTAATTTTTGAAGGTTGAGATAGAGGAATTGTTTTGAGGCTTCTTTTATTGCAGCCTTCAGATGTACAAGGAATATAGGGAGGGTGTTTTCCAAAAGCTTTTTTCTTTTGAAATCTTGGTAGTCTTTTCCTGCTAGAAAGTTTCGCTTGGATAGTTCAGAAGTATAGATCTTTCCAACCTTGAGTTGGGAAAGTAAACCTGTGGTAAATCTTTGTTTAGCGTTGCTTTTGATTTCAATTTCATTGCCTCAGTATTTAAATCTGAAAATTGCTAAATCCTCAGTTGATCTGTAAGCTGCGTTTTTCGTGATGTCAAAACAAGCATATCACTTTCCTCTTTAACATGATAACATTTCGTCTTTGCATCACTGAAAGACAAAAAGGGAGAAGAAAGTGGGGGTTGCTTTCTGGCAGGTTGTCTTTCACTAGAGAATTTTGTCCTCTGAACACACAAATCTGAGCGGAGTATCATTACTTAGTGGTAGTCTATTACTGGAAGATGAGCTGGGGTGAGGGTTATGATTATGACCTTACAAAAAATGAATTAGCCCTTTAATGGCTGTATTCTTTATAAAATTGTTAGAAATCTTTAAACTTGAGGAATGTGTTCTTTTTAGTCACTTCCAATCTTCAAGTAGAAATCATTGTTTATAATCTATATGAACAAAAGCAGTTTCCCTGCATATGCCCGTTCATTTTGTGATGTAAAATTTTTAAGTGCAGGCCTTACTGCTGTGATTACCTCTTGTTTTCATGACAGTGTTTGTTCAGCTCACTGCATGTGTTCCTTTTTGTGTGTGACTATGTTCCCTAGTGGAACATAGTGTAAAGCAGTGCTCAGCACTTAGTGTGTCATCTAACTTACTGCTATTGATCTACAGTCTGGGCTGAAGTAACTGAATACTTCACGCTTCCATTTTGTGCCAAGCACCGATTTATATGCTCTGGTCTCTCTGTTATGACTGGTTTGGTAGTCAGTAGAACACAGAGATTAACTGGGAAGAGCATACTTTGACAGTTTGTTAATGGGAACTCTACTATTAAAGATTGAATTGGTCAAAAAATTTTGATTCTCACACTGGTTCTTATTTCTTCTGACATTCAAAGAAGCAGTTGCAGGATATAGAAATATAGAATTGGATGAAAACAACTCTCAGCTGACAACATTTTTGGGTCATAGCATTTGAGTGCTTAAGACTTGTGAGAATAGGGTTTTGTTTAGTGAATTTGACAGACTATGTAGTCATTTTTGATACTTATTTTAGCAAGTGAAATAGTTAACTTTCTGTTCTGCATCTACTAAAATTTAGGAAGTGGTACAGTAATGCCACTCTTCTTACTCAGACTCTTGGTTTCTCTAGTTGCTTCAAGCACATTTTTTCTCTTGATACTTCTCCTGTAAAAAACTACTTCCAGAAAACTTGAATCACATGTCAGTGCTTCTTTCACAGTTTTAAAAAGGAGCATGTAAGTCTCAGTCCCACATGTGCTATAATGTTAAATTCATAGATCACATGATCTGGATTGTAGCCTACTCTGCTGATGTGCTGTGTCTTCTTGGGTAAGTGATTTAACCTGTTGTGCCATTATTAAAACAGATACCTACCTACCTCACAGGGTTGTTGTGAGGCTTGTTTTAGTGATTAAAGTGCTTTTGGCACCTGGCTAAAAGGTGCTACAGAAATGTAAAAATAAATTCTGATGTAATACCCTATGATCCCATAGGCCCAGCTGTCTATTGCTATTTCCTTTGTCTCTTCGACTGTTTGAACCATCTTTTAGATACAGAAAGACTTGATAATGCTTTTTATGCACTTGAAAGAACTTTTACTTTACCAGTGTTGTAAATATTTAAGTAGTGCCAAAGCAAACATTTGAAGTTGTCACCTTTTTCTCTGCTAGTTTCCTTTGAGAAATCACCAGGTTGAAAATCTTCTTGAGCGCATTTATTAAACTATGTTCATGTATTTGCAACATTTTTTGAATGATCTAAAGAATTTTTAGTTCCAGTTGCTCTAAGTGGAAACTTTAATCTGTAATTGTCCTGAATGTTTCAGGCCAGTTCACACGTTTTTACCCTTTTCGTTGTTGAGTATATTGCATTATATCCTGGTCACTTTGAACTGTTATTAGTAGGGGTTGAAAGGTTGCCATAATTAAAGATTTAAAAATCATCAGCACATGACAGTTGTGACAAATACCCCAAGTCTAGAGACAATAAATACAAAGCTAGTAACATGCGTGTAAAGTGTTTGGCTGTTAATATGTATTTTTCATCTTGCGAATTTTGCACGTAAGACTCCTGTGTTATTGCTTGTTCTAAAGAAATGAAACTAGATATATTTGTTCAGGTAACTTCTATTTGATATGAACACTTTGAATTTTAGATGTCTTGGTAACAAACCAGATGCTGTATGAGGATTTAGAGGGTGGGACCAAAGCTTAGGGTTGATTGTTTTGCATTTCATCATATGCAATACATCAGTATCTTAAATTCATGTAATTCACACTGGTGTGGATACTAGTCAGAATGTATCATTTAACCTACTTGTATATGAAAAATGTAAATAAAACCATTTAGAAAAATGATTGTTTTTGTTTAAAATGTTTGTGTTTCTTCAAAGCATTTTCTTCCCCTGTTTTACTTTAATCTGGTTCTGTGTTTAAAAAAAAAAGTTGCTATACCTACCACCAAAATTCTTCTGCTTGGGGAAAAATGGGAACTGACTTCTGTCAGGATGAAGTTGGAGTGATCAGAAGTCAAAGTAGAATAGATTTCTTGGCTGAGATTCTGTTTAGTGGTACTTTCAACTGAAAATACTGTATATATCACTAGCTGATCTTTGTATTTCTTAATGGAAG